TCCCTAATGGATGCTCCCAATAAGCTTCGCTGTCATCTGTTGATGATGGATGAACTGAATCATTTTTGCCATACCCATTGCCAAACGATCTAAGAAAGAACTTCTTCATCTTCTGCGCTGGCTATTGATTATTGAAGTTTCTGCCCTTCAATCCCAATGTTTTTTTCTCAATATCATGTCAAATGCAATCACTCTAGACCTAAAAAAAAAACAGAACATCGTTAATAGATAAACATAGAGAAGCAAACAGCAAAAATGGTTTACGATCTCGAAACGTGTTTGGATACATACAAACAGTCTACCATCAAACAAGCGACTGGTTCGCTGACGACCTTAAGATGACCAAAACAAAAAAAAAGTTTGCTCCAAATTGAAACGGGCAAAAAATTACAAAAATAAAAATTCGAAAAATAAAAGTTCATAAGGACGTATATCATTCTCAGGAAAAAAGGCATTTCGTGAAAACCAACAGAGGAGGTTAGAAACAACATTTAGAGCTATAAATAAATAAATAAAAACTCAAACGAGAACAAAACCAAACCCGATCGCTGAAAAGTTCAATTTCCCTTTTAGATGCTACAGCTCCTTTGATCGATAAAGAAACTCCAGAAAGACAGAAAACAGAAGAGAAAATCACTCACTCTCCGATATGCATAACAGCAGCAGCAACAACAAAATCCTCCCAAACTTCATCAAACAAACGGACGGTACAGATTCAGAAAATGTAAAGATAAACAACTGGAATCTACACAAGAAATTCACACTGATTGCAGAAATCAAAACAGAAATAAACTCTTAAACATACCGATAGTCGCCGATTCCAAATTCAAATCACCAAAGACAACTCATAATTCCAATATTTTAGGAAAGTTGCAATCAAGCATTGAATGCTGGGAGAGTTGGCGGGATTGAATGGCCAGCAGCACACCAATTACAGTTGTGGCGGGGATTGGCAGTGTTTGAACGACTGAATTACATCAGAAATTAAGTGATGATATTGCATCCAACCGTCCAGTGTGAAGATTTCTGGGACTGTTTAAGAAATGGAAAAGGTAGTTTTGTCCGAAAATATATTTAAAACCTCTGGTGCCGCTAATAATGCCGAAGAGGAGCGGGATTCGTTGGGTAATGATACAGTGAGGGCGAGTACACCCTTTCTCCCACGCACCAAATAATAATAATAATAATAATAAAATAACAAAATTAAAACTAGCACGTTATTTTAGTCTTTATAAAAATACTTCCAAATTATTTCAAAATTATCGAGAATTTCCGGAATTACAAAAACATATTTTAATTTATCTCAATAAAATAAGTATGAGAACATAAAATACGCCAATTTTGATACAACAAAAGATTGTTAAATTTATATTATGAACCTTTATAATTGATATTTTGTTATTCAAACTTTACAATAATTTATAATTAAATTATTCTTAAAAAAAATGCTTCAATCAATTAACATGGTTAAATTTGAATTAACTCACCCCACACTTCTCAAGAAGTCCCATGGCCATGAGCTCTTATTCCCATGAAATCCATCCCATGCAATGTACAAGAAAAATATATATAAAATTTTGGAAACTAAAATTATATTCGTAAAAGAAACTGCCAGCCATGTTTACAACGTGTTAGTAATTACAGGAATCTCAGCACGAGTTTTGGCCAACTGGGTTTCCGCCACGTGTGATTGGCATTGTAATCGAAAAATAATCCCAACACACCCATAAACTGAGTCAAGGAGAGAGTGATTTCTCCAATCGTTTAATTTCACACAGATATATGTAATAAATAAACAATATTATTTGACAGATGAAACTAAAATACTAAATTACGAAAACCGAGCAAAAATGGGAAGCTCAAGGGAAATAGGCAAAGATTATACGAAATAGATTATTACATATAATTTATCAAAATTAAAAGCTGGAAAATAAATAGGCAAAATACTGTGCTGATGAACATTTGGAGGCGGGATTCAAAACACAATACAAGTTCTATTTTAGAAGTCTCTGTGAGGCACTAGTCGCTTATAAAATATTCCAACCCAGAAGCATAATAATTAAGAAACTGTCTCTATTATGCAGACCCGCTACCGCCCCTCGGGGACCCATTGGCTTCATCATCGTTTACAGGACTCCTTTCTTCTCTGGGCAACGGGCTGGGGCTGCGACTGTACCCGTTCTCTTCCTTCCTGTAATTCCTGCTTCCACCACCGTTGAAGTCCTCAGCTTCATCCATTGGGCTTCTGCTCCTTCCTCTCGGGCTTCGGCTTCTGCTCCTTCCTCTCGGGCTTCGGCTTCTGCTCCTTCCCCTCGGGCTTCGGCTTCTGCTCCTTCCCCTCGGGCTTCGGCTTCTACTCCTTCCCCTCGGGCTTCTGCTTCTGCTTCTTCCTCTAGGACTGTCACGGTTCTCAGGAGACAGGCTACGTCTTGCTTCTTCTGGACTCCTCACATCAGGAGTGGGGCTACGCTTCATAGCTTTAGAAGGAGGGGGTGACAAACTGTGTCTCTTAGGGCTTAGCCTGCCTCCTCTTGGGCTCCTCGATCTTTTTTCTGACCGTTCAAGACTACGATCCCTTTTTACAGGTGATCTAGATCGACTGTGGAGACATGCTCAGCAGGTTAAATTCATGAAGTTCGAGGTTCAATAATTAAGCAACAAACTCAACTCATGGAAACCCGTAAGTCAATGTAAATCTAGATAGAAGCTTCAACAACCAAATAAATGATGATAAGTGGTTAAAATTGTATCGAACCTGTAGCTACGACCTCTGCTGTAACTACGACTTCGACTTCTACCACGGCGAGGGCTTGGTGAACGTGAGTAGCTTCCACGCCTGTGCCATACAGTTTTATTCAATGATCAGCCAAATAAATTAAGTGAAGAAAAAGAGTAATAATAGAAAGGATAACATACTTCAACTTCTTAGGACTGTTCTGGCAATTCTTCTCTATGTGACCCCGTTCCCCACATCGATAACACTTATTCTTCCAGTCCCCAGCCTTGCAATCTCTTGCCCAGTGGCCATCAATCCCACAGTTAAAACAACGCCCAGTTCCAGGAGGGCCTCGTCCAAGATATTCACGAGATTCACGAGATCCACCAGGACCACGGGGTACCTAATTAAAAATTGGAAATTTTCATCACATTCAAAGAATGGTTAACAAAACAGATATACATGATGTATAGAGTATACTCTTACACATGCATGCTGGTAAAGTTACACAGCCTTGTTATAATGAACAAATGTGACTATAAAACGATTAGAATTGTACATGAAAGGTGATAGAGGCTATTTCTAAGTTTCAAGAACATATTTCAGAAGCACGGATAAAAATAGCAGAATCCCCAAAAGACGGGAAACAGTTGCAGTAAACTACTAGGAAAATATTGACAACTAGCCTGAAAAGAGCCGAGGCAACTGTCTGAAACAAGTTATATAATTAATGAAAGGATGGTAAAGAAATGTAATGGTACATACCCCTTTAGCTATTTCCACAATGATTCGACTTCCATGAACATCCCTCCCATTTAAACTATATCTTGCATCGTCAGCATCTCGGGGGTCACTAAACTCCTGTTATAATATGTTTAAGCAGATAGACCAAGAAAAAAGATCACACTTGCAAAAATTAACATGCACCAGCCAAGTAAAAAATGACTGCTAGCAAATAGCATATTCTTCTTCCATTTTTTTAGCCCGAGTAAAATCTGCATAAAAGAGAGGGAGGGAAATACATACAACAAATGCATAGTCTCGCTTCATATCCACATCGCGTACTCTGCGCAAATGGTTTCCAGAAACAGGTAAGGCCATCATTTGATACAAGTATCAAAGGGTTGACACCTCGCCCCTCATAGATGAACTAAACACCATTCTGAGATTCTTGGCATTTCCATAAAAACAGGCAATAACATAATAGAAAGACTCGCCAAATCCACCAAGGGAACCCTCTCACCATAGACCTCCAGGTTTGGCATAAGCCAAGAAACCTTCAACAAGATCACTCAAGTTAAAGTTTTAAACCACACAGACTCATCAACAATTCCACACTTCATGCATATATCAAAATGCACATTAACAATCGAGCACCCAAAGAAGGACTTGGGAAATACCTCAAGAGGTCTAGAGAGAAGCATCAATTAATAATTTACTCTGAAAAGGGTGTTAGCAAAAGCATAACCCTGACAATAGAATTAAAATAGGACACAACTAAAAACGAGTAACGATTTCGAATTTTTCAAATTAACGTTATCACACAAATTCGAACAATAAATGGCTGAACAGTTCATCCCACAAAAATCCCACATACCTTCCATAACGACTGAACAGGTCATCCAGATCACGCGACCTAGTCCGTGAAGAAAGGCGTCCAACGTAGAGTCGCGTACCACCGTATCGATCGTCATAACGAGGCATTTTATCTACAATTGACAATCACAATACCACAATCAGCAACAGCATCCCATAACCAATAACTTGCGCAGGCATTACAAACAAACAAACGGATAAGAATCTACTTCTCAGGATTTGAAGAGGACATAACAAAAAACAAATATTGCTTGAGCAAATTAGATACCTAGAGAACCTTATTTGTCAAAACATTTCAATACAACTACGGCATGAACATTAACTAAGAGGAATCGGGAAGAGAAAACCTAGACAATTAGAACGGGAGGCGCACCTGGAAATAACAAGTATGAGGAACCCTAGCTTTCACGTCGTTCGCTAAAATGATTACCGTAAGCAGCTCCTGGCCATTTTATAGGGATTTCCGTTGCCCAAAAACAGCTGTAGGCCCAAATTTGTCGAGGACTGTGATGGGCTTCGTTATTTAAATGGGCCTTGTTGATGGGCTGGGCTGGGAAAATGAGCTGGTATGTAAATTAATGTTTTTAAATAAAAGCTTTGATTTTAAATTATTAAAATTATTAGTTTCAAGTTAATTGAAAAAAATAAGAAAGAAGTATAAATTGAGTTTTGGCGGAAAAGGAAACGAACACCAAACTAAAACTAATTTTCCTCCGCTTCCAAGATTTTCCCACGGTTTCGGACCATATACTGAATTCCTTTCCTTCTCCGATAAAATTTCAGTTCGAATCCATCTTTGTTTTGTGTGTGTGTTTAGAACTGATTGCATTTGGAATTCTTGGACATTTTTGTACTTTGTGATTGCTTTGAATTACACCATATTTTTCTTTTGTTTTTATGTTTTTTTAGTTTGTTTTTCTGTTTTGTTCTGATCTCCTCGAAATTTTCTTCCCGGGGTTTTTCAATCGATTTCTGGTCGATGAATCCGATGCGAGAACGGTAGTGTGTTTATTGGTCGATTATTCATTGTTGCGACACTTCGGGATAGGTCGGGGACTTTAGGTTGGTATGATTTTTAAGAGTCCGTTAGGGTTTTGTATTGTTGTGTAGAGAGAATTGGTTTGACGAAGTTAAAAACCTTAATCGTTGTTTTTAAGCCATTGCTGCGTTCCGGGGTGCAAATTTGACAATGAATCAAGGCGGCAATACTGAAACCGTAGCTCCAGCGCTACCCAGGTCGCTCGAGGTAATATATCAATATCATTACGTAGTGTATAAATTTATACCTCGCGTGTGTCTTGTGTTGAACTTGTGGCTTACTTCGAAGTTAAGCCGGATGTGAAACTTGAAGTAATATGCGTTTGGTTCATTCACTAAGTTGGAACCGGTTTCTTTTTTGGTACTTTACAAATAAAAAAGTCCGTTAATATGGCCACAATAGTGATGGAAGCGTGTCCCCTTGTTCTATTTCTCTAGCCCTGACTCATGTTATTTTGTCTTGAGATCTGTTGAACTTGAACCTAAGTACTTGAATGTTTGCTCTGTTGCGAAGAAATATCTCAGATTGTTGTTAAATGCTTTTTATGACAAGAACGATAAAGACGACTAAGTCTTTTGTTTCTTCTTTCACTTTTTGGCATGGTTTTGGTAAAAGACTTTGGATTGCATTTTGCCAGACTCGATTGTATTAGTACAGCACATTAACCGACCTGCGTGGATTTAATTATTTTCTTGGTACGCTAGGCATATGTACAATCACAGGAAAACTTAAGGGCCAGAGAAAAATATAGGGGTCTTAGAGTGGTTGAGATTCTACTTCTGTGGTGTGTATAAAAATTCGAAACAAGTTCTGATTTTAGCTTATGCTCATAGATGACTATTATGTTATTTTAGTTTTGTACTCCCTTCCTTTATTATTGTGATTTTCATGCATGTTGTGTTTATTTTATTGCTGGCCGCTGTAATCAGAAACATGAAATTAACGTTTTGGTGCCTCCGTGGTCATTTAGATTTTCAATGTATTTAAGTTCAGTGGATTTTCATGTATGACAGCAATGCTGACCTAATATACTTCCCAACTTGTTGTTTACAGAACCAACACTTTGGTGACATTAATCAATCAGCATCGACATCAACATATCTTCCTTTGACATCAGCTCCAGAAGCCATATCATGGGCTACACACAAGGTGGATGGCAGTTCCAATGAGAATGGGCCGCTCCCAAATTCCACTTTTCAATATAATCAACCAGCGCTCCCACCTGCAAGAAATGTGCAAGATGGTCTAAATGTGTCTTCTGTTGCTTGTAGTTCATCAAGTTTTGTGACATCAAATTCAACGCAAGATTACAATGCCTAGGCACCATATTCCAATTCTGCCGATCCTTATGGTTGTGCAAATGCTGGTTATCAAGGTTACTACAACAACTATCAACAGCACCAAACCTTGATGTGATGACTTGATTTTCGTGTTTGAATGTGATGACTTGATTTTCATGTGCAGGCTTCATCCACAACTCTCTATATGCCAGAGCCCGAAGACGCAGTGGCTCATGGAGATGCAAATCTTGATGTGAATGATTTTTTTTTACACGAACACCCTCATAAAGGAAGAGAAAGTAGTTGCACCCCTGTTATTCATAGCTTGTCAGAGAGACCGGCCTTCTTTACTGGTACAGCATTAAGATTTGAGTGAAATGATCAAATATATGCCTTAAATGGGAGAGGAGCTAAAAACACCATGTAGCAGAGAATAGCATTCTATTCAGCAATCATCATGACTGTTCATTATTTATTGATATTAGCAAAGATGGATAGAAATAAAAGTAAATTGTATTTTTGTATGTATGACAATCTTGTGTGATTTAAATTTTGCTTTAATTTCTTCTCCTTGGAAAATTGACTTCCGTTGCCTTTTTTCCCCCAAAACTAAAATTGATACCGGGTAGGATCTTACTACTGGTACTTCAATGGTTCATATAGGGATGTTCGTTTAATCAAAATTAAAATTGATACTGGATAGGGTCTTACTATTGGAACTTCAATGGTTCATATAGGAATGTTTGATTTAATTTGTCGGATAAAAAATTCTTTCCTAGAAACAATCTTATATTATAATAGGCCATATCATTTAATTACAAAAAATAACCGTTACATGTAAACAAATTTTAATTAAAATTCAAGCAAAATGATGCTTTGAAGCGAGTTTGGAAACAGTAATTTTAATCGAAACGCCATAAAAACAAACGACTCCAAAGATTTAATGGAATGTGTCCTTTGAAATCACCGAAAGACACATTTATCATGCCAAAAACATTTGTCCTACAAGATCTCTCAAACATATTTGACAGTATCATAAAAGCACTCCTAAAAAAAAGTCAAAACACTTGAAAAAACTCGCTCTTAATCGCAACTCAACCGATAAAATTCAATTGATCAGAGCGTTTCACCACGGATTCAAAACTCTTACAGACCTACAATTAAAAAAGAATCAAGATAAAAAAACAAGAAGAGGATCAATCAAAGACAGCTAACAAGAACAGTAAGGCATAGTGGTTAAAAGACTAAAAATAGTACCTTTTTCTTTCTAGTAGAAAATTATTCAAAGCCACCTTCACTTCATCTAACTACCAAACGGAATGGATTGTCAAACATTCATTGGTAATGAAAGGTGGAGAAAAGAGTCGCAACTCATCTATTTAAGTACACGAAATGAAAGACTTTAGGCGAATTGGACATAATACCCTTTTCTTGAGATGATGATGATCTTGCATGCTAGGATTTCAAAGTTCTGCTTGCTAGTTGCTACCAACAACATTTTTTCATACTCAGTCTGGTTCTGATTCATGAAATAGGTGAAGATGCCATGAACTCAGTTGGATCATAATGAAATTTCCCCACCTATTAATGGAAACAGGCGAGACCATCCCGTGATGTTATCTCAACTTCAAACAATTCTCAACCATACAAGACACCAAAGCAAACCATCAGCTGAAATTGTCCGCAATACTATGATGAACAAGCAAATCACATAAACTGCTACCTGCAGAAGTTCCGATTATATTAGATCATCAGAAAAGTTAACGGCGAGATCCCAATAATGACCAACACCAGCATCAGCAAAAATCTTCCTAGCAGCTGCCTCCGTCATGCACTCCTGGATAGAAAATTTATGGAAGCTAGATTTGGCAACACTTCCTTGCCATACCAATGAACATTTATTAACGGGCTTGTCGTCATTTTCATCCTCCTCTTCTTCCTCTTTCACGGAAGCGGCCCAGTTTATGCGCTTAAGCATAAGTTTCCCATACCTCTTGATGGATTTGCTGCCCCCTTCAACGACCAAAACACTGATGTTGTCACATATCACAGCACATCCACTCAAACGGTTCTCTCTAGCATTAACATCAACTTTAAACCGGGCCTGTGGGTGTGATAAATCATTGATCTTGTAAACGGATACAATTGTCTCCAGTGAATTTGTATCCTCAAAAAGCTTGCGTTCTTTCTTTTCACGGCGTTCTGCTGGGGTCAGTTTTCGTGCAATATTTCTATCTATGTGAGCTTGTTCCCTCTCAGCAGCTGCAGCACGAATCTCTTTCTCAAGTTTTGTAGGGTCTTGGGTTGCTTCTGAGCCAAGAACTTTCATTAAATTGCTCATTTTAACTTTTGGTTTAGGTGGTTCTATCAGGCCTTGTCTAATCATCTCCTGTCTATCTTTCTCCTTTGCCAGACGACGCTGCGTACGGAGTTTTTTCTGCTCCTTCTTTGTTAGCTTTAGGGGTTGAGGAGGCGGAGGAGCTGGTTCAGCAGGAGGTTCAATAGGACGAGGATGCTCCACATATATGGTAATCTTATCCTTCCTTATTTTATCATCAGCCACAAAACCATCTCCCACATGCTCATATGTGCCAGAATGCAAAAGAGGGACATCCCTAAATAGTTTTTAGGAAACAAAACAGAACATTAGAATTGGATCTCATAAGGGATCCCAATATAAGATAGAAATTAAAAAAATAAACGCTAGAAAATTTAAGTAACTAAAAAAAAGAAGAAACGGAAAAAAAAAATGTACGAAGCTTGCAATCAATCAGATACAACACTACACAATGTCCTTAGACCAAAGCACAAAGATACTACATCACCAAACATCTCAAGCCCATGTGATAACCATTCAGTTTTTAGAATCTACTTCCCTCACTTTTATAGTCAAAATTTTAGAAGAAAACAAAAAAAAAAACAAAGTTTTAAAAACTTCTTTAGGCTCCCATTTATAACTATTTTGTTTTTTGTTTTCTGTTTTTGAAATTTAACCTTTTGTAAACACTACTTACACTTGTAGTTTTCTAACTTCATTGCCTACTTTTTAGAAGCATTTTCAAGAACCAAGATAAATTTTAAAAATTAAAAAGTAGTTTTAATAATCTTGAATTTATTTTTGAAATTTGTCTTAGGGTTCAACAAATGTGTTTTTTAAGGTGAAAAGCGCACCACAAAATTGGAAGGAAACAAGAATTACAAACAAGGCAATAGTTTTCGAAACTTGACTTGGATATTGAAAGCACTATAAGGAAGATACTGAACAAAAAAAACTCACGCGGAGGTAGTGTTTATAAGCTTAATGATTACCAAGGAGTCCGTTAATGATGAAGGAAAAGGACATGCAAACTTGATCCCTGAAAACATTCCTGTACTGTAACTATTTGGCATATAAATTTTCACAGGCACACAGACACATCATTGATTGAACAATCATGAAACGGCAAACAAAAAATTAAATAAAAATAAAACTCAGGATTATGAGAGCAGAAAATAAATATCAGCGAGCTTACCACCACTCGATCTCAGGAATTGGTTCTTTTGTTTTATCTTTCACAACTCTCTCCGATACCTCGATCAGATTTGGATTTATATCAGGTGCAGCCTTGGCCTTGGCCAATTGTGCCTGCTTCTCCCTTCGTTCTTTGGCTTGTGCCTCTCCAAATTTACTCTGTAACGAGAACATTAGCATTTTTTTTAAGAAATTAGATGACCATTCTTTAACCAAAAGTAAGCATGAATCGAGATAAGTACCCTTAATTTTATGGTTTCAGCCTCCTTGGACCATTTCCCCTCCTCAACGAACAGGAAACTCATCCTCTTTGGCCTTAACAGTTTAGTTTTATTTATACCCATCCTCTCATCATAATGAGGATTTGATTCGGGATCCACATCAAGTTCAGGTTTAAGAATTTGAAATGCATCCTTTTTCTGTTTGTTGATGTTAACCTGCAAGGTTAAAAATATATGTGAGGTCAATCCGTTCAAAGTTGACTACATAAAGAAAACTTCTAAAAGGGTCAGAAGTTCGCTCCAAACCTTTAGAGTGCTGAGGTCGCTGGGTTTGGTTAAATTGACAACATTTCCTTGTTCGTCTATTTCCCTGCCGAGTGCATCAAGGCGAAGCACAGGAGCCTTGCTTGGCTTCTGTGAAACAGCAACATCAGTTGCTACATTCCCTGGAAACAAATTTATAAGAGGAGCAAACTCTGGATCCTGGCGAAATCCCATCCTGGCAGCAAGCTCCTGTGCACGTTTGACAGCTTCAAAATGGGGTATAGAGGTAAGGCTAGCTGGAACATTAATACCACCACCAAGTGCATTGGCAGCTGGTAAGGTCGACAAACTTGATGCTACCCCAGCAGAAAGGGTAGTGGTGACATTTGTAGTTGCCGTTAGCCCCAATAAACCACCTGCTAGCTTAGCTTTCTCCTCCGATTTTACAGCTGAGCTACTTGCAGAACTTGACCACCCATCCTTCTTCATCTATAAGATCAAGTAATATAACATTTCATACAAAAAGGAAATACCCAATACAAACACACGCGTATGCATGCATCCATGCATGGGTAGTAAATGCAACATCAGAGGGTGGTGAAAATAGCTACAAAATGAGTCAAAGTATCGATGTCTTGAAACTTACCAAGGGAATTTTCTTCAACTTCTCGGCCAATTCTTTCTGCATCTGTAAAGCTTTCTTAGCTTTTGCTAAAGCATCAAGAGAGAGATTTCCACTTTTCCCCGCGGTTGAAGATGTCCCATCTGTACTAGATTTTCCATGAACCTCATGAGATCTGGCAATACTAACTCCCTTATTTTCATTTGTGGTAGAAATTGAAGATACCTTGATAGGATGGGAATAACCAGGATGTAACAAATTCTGGGGCACACTTGATGACATGTCAATATGTTCCACCGTAGATCCCTGCAAAATTACGACGTTAGTTTCTCAAATCCTACCAGTCACTGCCCAAAGGCATCACAATCATGAAGGAATCTCCTCAATATTAAAGAATAAATCAATCTAGTCACACTTCAAAAACAAATGTAAACAAGGTAAAATTTGCTATAAGAAATCTGTACGCGCATTATAAACCAAACTATTAACAACATTTACAAAAATGTCTGCTCTTGCATCCAAGAAACATCAAATAA